TCATTATTTCTCTTTTTTAAGACCCATCATGTATGCTGCTACCTTCGATTCGATGATAATGCAAGTTTAATGAAAGATTCAATGATGGATCGATGAAAAATTTTTTAAATCCAAAAGGAATGACGGAAAAATATTTGTTAAAGATGATAACGAGAAATATCTAAGAATATTTTACCAATGGAATTTCTAGTCAAGTCTTTTGAGAAAATATCAAAATTTACAAAAATATTTACATTAAATGCTAAAAAATTATGGGGAGGGGGGGGGGGCTTAAATTATTAAATGATCTGGAGGTTATTAGAATTTTCCAGACTCGTAAGATTCTGAGAATTGTAACATCTTTTGTTCTTCAGATGAATGAATCCGAGATTTATGATTTAGACTGGAAAAAAGTGTTCTTTCATTTTACCTTATCGTTTTACTTTCTCATTTTTTTTTCTTCTCTTCTTTCCCTCTTAATTTATCAAATTTATACAAATATTTTATTATTAAGTATTCTTACTAGCGTTGTTAAACGGGTCTGACTTCAATACTTTAGCCAGAAAAATATTTCCTAAAACCTCAAAATTTCATTAATATATGCCTTAGACCTTTGTGCTTTCTATGAACAGAAACTTCAGGCGTGCTTAATATATTTTTCTGGATAAAATATTGGTTAGCAACACCAATTCTTACTATCTCAAGTAGCGCCTGGAAGGGTCGTGAATTAATTAAAAACAGACCATGAATTCAATTTAAAAAAAATAATTTTACCGTTTCATCATCGGAATATTTGAGGATTATTTGCCTAAATTATTAATTTCAATTTTCATTTTTAGGAATCACGTGGGAATTCAAGATCTCGAATCCCCACGTTGGGATTCCGAATGTCACGTGATTCCATATATCGATACGACATATATAAATATATTAAAGATTGATGCAAATAAATAAATTATATCCGAAATTTATAATTTGTAGTTGGTTTAAGACCCGCGCTATTCAATTTTCTAAATAGAAATGAACATTCTACATAAACAGCGCCCATTCCTTAATATAATTAATTTTGCGATGGTATGCCATAGGTGGGAATTGAATTTCAGAGGGATCAAGAGATCGTTGGAATTGAAACCAGAACTGGAACCTTTAAAATACATCATACTGCAATATATTTACTCTTTTTTATTATTATTTTTATAACTGTATAATAGATATATTAATATTACGAAATGAGGTTATTGCACAATACGAGTTATTCACGGATTTATAATGAATAGAATTTTATAAATTATATAATAATATAAAAATACTCTTTAATTAAAACATTAAATATATCTGTAATATACATAAATTTATAATGAGTATAATAATGTGAAATTCCAGGTGGCAAAGGGAAGGAATGAATTAAAAATAATAATTTGTTCCCTTCTTAAATTAAATAAAAAAATTTTGAAGATCTTTCTTTCATTATTGATGATTATCAGGGAAAAATCTTTTAATATCTTATAAAAGGTACATAAATGTCTATCTGTCTCAAGCAAGATATGAATTAGATATTTCTACTATTATCGCGTCATACTGACTTTTAAGACGCAACAACCATTCGAAAACTACCATAACGATACGCTTCCTAAAAGCGTGTTTGATGACGGACGACAGCAAATTTCCTTTTCCTTTATCGGTGTCATCCCCGATGTTCCTTAATACCCTAGCTATTTCTCTAATAATCATTTCTTGGGGGCACGGTCTTGGGATAATGGATGAGCACGATTTGTATGGTGGAATTTTGGCGGCAGAAATATCATCCGTTATTTGACGAGAGTTCTGACAGCGATGATAGGCGGAAGGAGTTGTATTTAGGATAATAGAAAAAGTATTCATAGACTGTTTTCTTTATGATAATCATTTGTTTTTACGAATGAGGGAGGACTGTATTCATTTCCCTTCATAGAATTTTCGATAAAATGACTCGTAATAAATTTTTCGAGATTTTGTCCCCAATTATGAAAATCTCACTAAAAATGACTAATGGAGAAAGGATAATAATTTTTCTAGATTATGTCCCAAATATAGAATTTTACCAGAAATACCAATGGAATGATGATAAATTTTCGAAATTTTGTCCCTAATTATGGAAATCTCACTAGAAACACCAATGGAGAAATGATAATAATTTTTCGAGATTATGTCCCAAATATAGAATTTTACCAGAAATACCAATGGAATGATGATAAATTTTAGAGATTTTGTCCCCAATTATGAAATCTTACTAGAAATTACCAATGGAGAAAAGATATTGACATGACATCGACGATTTTTAAGGGATTTTTATTCTAAAAATTGACCAATAGCCATTGTGAGAGCATCATATGAAAAAGTAATTAAAAAATAAACTTAAAAAATATTTTTAAATTTAAAATAAGGATTTTGATAAATTAAATTATTTTTTTTTAAAAAAATAAAATTTAATTGACATGTTATAATTGACATTTTCAGCTTTACCTCAAAAAAAGACGAAAGAATGCCAATCATTTTGCTACATATTTTATTTTTATAGGAATGGGATAATAATAAAAATAAGAGATGAAAAAAATTAAATGTAAAACGAAAAATAAAAATAAAAACAAGCCATAAGAAAAGAAAAGAATACACAAGAGAGTGAAAAAGAGAAGATTAAAATGTCTCAATGCTCTTCATTCCAAATTTTTATAAAATATTTTTTTCCCACGCAGGTAATAAGTATAAAAAGTGATTGTCCTGTCAATAAAACTCACCTATTATACTTATGGGCTTTCCTATTGTCAATCATTTTTTTTTTATTAAAAGTAAGCGTCCCTTTTTAAAAAAAAATAATAATAATATCATTACGTTTTCAATTTTCTTGAGGGAGAGTGGAGGGTTAGGTTTTAAATTAAGGTGAGAAGCCACTTGAAAGACATAATTATGAATACATGTATATTTAGGAAACACGCATCTCCCCTAAGATGTTTTCCAGGTTTCATCTTTCGATTTTAAAAATTATTAATGTATATAGAGAGGAAATAAAATATTGCCAGCCATTATATTCCCATTTGTCCACTATTGGACCAAATTCCCATATTAATTATATGTAACATCGTTTTGAAAGAAAAAAAAAGACTTATTAATGTTAATTGATATGTTATTTTATAATAAAATAAATTATTGTGTAATTATAGTTTTTTTTAAAAATCCTTATTATTGAAAAAACATAATTATTAGGTGTTTAAAAACAAATAATAAATTTACCCCCATGGTTTAATATCGATTATAAATAACAAATTTATTATTAACTAATAATATCTATAATTAATGTAAAAATTTATAAATTTATATTTAGGTATGGGTCGGGCGGGGCTTAATGACCCATCTATGGATATGCAGCTGGAACGGCAGATTTCAAGTGATATTCTTTGTCGAAGGTAGAAGCCTTCCTTTTTAGATCACCTGTGATTAACCGTAACCTTTGCCCTATTGTAAATTAAAAATTTTAGGGCTTGGGGTCCAAATGTATCGTTGAATTTGGAAATTAAAAGAAATGTTAAGGATGGTTATACGAGATCAGTGGCTAACACAACAAGACAAATTCTGAGATTTCTCGTGTTTGGATATGAATTCCCCCAAAAATCCAATAAAGGATTTTTTTATAAGTGGTGTGGAATGATATTTTAGGTAAATTCCATACATTTATAAAGAATATAAATAACTTTTTATTTATCAAGAATTTAAGAAAATATAGTATTAAATTATAGGCTTATATTATCAAAAATAAATTAACTTAGTTATATTATAGAAATCTCATTATTCACTAATGATCCGTTTTAAGACATGGAATTTTCTAGGGAATTTAGTAATTGGCATTTCCAGGATATTGTTATGGGGGAAGGGGAGATTATAATACGGCACAACCCTTGTACCCGGACCTGACTTAGGGCCAGCCTTGCAGGGTTCCGATACTTATTGCAATATAATATCATATTTATTGTGTTATATTAGTTAGAGTAAATTTATTATAGTAAAATATGCCGTAAAGCAATTCATTACGACACACATTTATAAAATTTTTATATTAAGGAATACATTGCAATGTTTTTTTGAAAAGATATACCAGCTATTTTACCTTTTTGCATCTTCTTGTTTTTTAAGTCAGCATAGAAATTAAAGGTGGATCTTTCTTTCTTTCTTTCTTACTTTCTTTCTTTATTTCTTTCTTTCTTTCTTTCTTTCTTTCTTTCTTTCTTTCTTTCTTTCTTTCTTTCTTTCTTTCTTTCTTTCTTTCTTTCTTTCTTTCTTTCTTTCTTTCTTTCTTTCTTTCTTTCTTTCTTTCTTTCTTTCTTTCTTTCTTTCTTTCTTTCTTTCTTTCTTTCTTTCTTTCTTTCTTTCTTTCTTTCTTTCTTTCTTTCTTTCTTTCTTTCTTTCTTTCTTTCTTTCTTTCTTCTTCTTTCTTTCTTTCTTTCTTTCTTTCTTTCTTTCTTATTTATCATGATAAGATTAGATTGGAATTGCAGTTTCTAACATGTGAGAAAGACTTTTTGGTAATAAAAAGAAAAATTTACAATGATTTTACTGTTAGGGTTAGGGTTATCAATATTTTATATAACTTTACATTGATGAACATAAACTGAAGAAATATATCTAAAATAATAAGTCAAGTTAATTAAAATTTGATAATAAAATATAAATTTTGAAATGACTTATGTTAAAAGAAAGAAAGAAAGAAAGAAAGAAAGAAAGAAAGAAAGAAAGAAAGAATACGCTTTAGATTGGATATCCTTATAACAGCTTCTTTATGGAATATTCAAAATTGACTTGTAACTGAGAGTTATAGCCGAAAAGAATGGTTATAGCGAATATTATAATCAGGCTTGAAACCAATTTTTGACCAAATTTTAAATGCTTGTAATATTATATTAAAATTGTGTGATTAGTTAAATTATTTAATTTCGAAAAAATGCAATAAAATAAAAAAAAATTTTTTTTGTTCGTGCTTATTTTGTCATGTCTAAACTTGATTGAATTTATTTATAATATATTCTAAAATAAATAATTAAAAATAAAAGAATAATGTTGTTGATGAAATGGAATAAAAAAAATGGTGGCTAAAATCACGTTATCTGGCTACATCTACCAATAGTCGTAGCTTGTACAATTCTCTTGCAATGAAGACCAACCATACAGGGACACCCGGGGGTATTTGTTTTTGAGATTTGACAGATTTCATCGAATGCCAATTTGGGCTGACAGTAATCTTGTCATATATTTATTTTAAAATAGTATTAAATATAATTAATGTCAATTTTTCTGTATAATAATTTGGAAATTTGTCAATCATATTTTTTTCAGCTCGAACCGCGGGATTACCCAATCACATCGCAAACTCGAATGAGTTTAAAAATAGGATCACGTGATGATGTAGTTTATTTGCACAAACTGTTGCACAAATCATTAATAATATCTTTAAAAAAGTGACAACCTTTTAATCTTGTTTATAAAAATTATTAACTTATATTATTTGATATGTCTACGAATAAATCCTTTCCGCAACATTCATTGGCACCACAATCTTTGACTGACGTGCATATCTTAGCAGCCTGAAATAAAAAAAAATAATGTAATCTTTGCGAAATGACATAAATTCTACTAGATTGGGGAAACTTCTCTTCTCTTCTCTTCTCTTCTCTTCTCTTCTCTTCTCTTCTCTTCTCTTCTCTTCTCTTCTCTTCTCTTCTCTTCTCTTCTCTTCTCTTCTCTTCTCTTCTCTTCTCCTTTCAACCCCAATCCGAGTTAAGGCCCGGAACAGCAGATAAAAAGAAGATTTTTAGGAAAGCCGAGAATTTAGCAAATTTATGTCGTTTTCCTTCAACTTTTATCGATTTCTACACAAAACTCCGATTCATAGAAACAAATATAACCGAAAATATAATGTTTATCAGTGTCGTCACTAGCCTTTTCAATCTCAGGCGACTTAAATTTTTTAAAAAAATATTTTTTTTAGATTTTGAAAAATATCTGTTTTTTAGGTTTAAAAAAAACATATTTTAAAATTTTCAAGAGGCTCATCAAATTTTTGCTCCCGCCACCCCTTAGTGACGCTACTGATGTTATTACAGAGCGTTTTTTTAAACGGTGGTGCCCGTTTCCGGTTCTTAAATTATTTCTGGTTCCGACAGGTTTTAATTCTAGTTCAAAAACAATAACTATATAATTAGAACTATTTTTAATGAGAAACCCCTTTTAAAATGAATTAGATTTCATGTTCCCGGCAACTTTAAGGGTGGGTGTAGGTTATTACCCCTATTGAAGATCTTTCTAGATTCCTAGGGGTTGGGTTCTGGTTTCAAATTATGGTAGTGTTGCTATAAAGCCCGATTCGGGTGTCGGGCCGGTTTTAAAAATTTAAAAATCGGATATTACCAGAAATATGTTTTATCATATTTGATCATGTTTGGAATACCTATCTTATATATTGTAGATAATTTTTCGCCGTTAACCTTTACAAGTCATTTATAATTTATATTAAAAAAATCTACGGAAAAACTAACATAAAATTATATGAAATTCAAAAAAAGTTCATAACGAAATGGCCTAAAATTTATAGGGTAGATATTCCACCCGGTAAAAAGAAAGAAAGAAATAAAGAAAGAAAGAAAGAAATAAAGAAAGAAAGAAAGAAATAAAGAAAGAAAGAAAGAAAGAAAGAAAGAAAGAAAGAAAGAAAGAAAGAAAGAAAGAAAGAAAGAAAGAAAGAAAGAAAGAAAGAAAGAAAGAAAGAAAGAAAGAAAGAAAGAAAGAAAGAAAGAAAGAAAGAAAGAAAGAAAGAAAGAAAGAAAGAAAGAAAGAAAGAAAGAAAGAAAGAAAGAAAGAAAGAAAGGAAGGAAGAAAGAAAGAAAGAAAACACATTGCCGGAAGAAACATATTGACGCTTACATATAGAAAGGAATTTTGTATATTGAGATTTAGTTCTTAAAGAAAAAATAATGTATATATGATACCTCGGTGAAGCTGACACTTATCGCTGCTAACTTAATCACTAAGCATAGAAGCCAGAGTTTGCTCATGGATTTACTTTACTTTTTTCTAATCAAATAATTTTATCTATTTTTTTTTGCAAAAAAATTTAAAATTTTTAAAAAAGTGAAAAAATTTTTTTTTTAAAAAAAAGATAAAAATAATTACCAAAAATTTCAAATTTATGAAAAAGTAATATAAAATAAAATGTCCAGTTTTAAAAAAAATGACAAATTCTATGATTCCAACTTCCGGTTAAGCTTTAACCAGATTCGGCCAGAAAGAAAAAATCTAGAAAATTCCCCCTCTATGTTTTTTTTAAAAAAATTCTTTTTAATTTGTCTAAAAACGATTAAAAAAACTTTTTTTTAAAAATTTCCTTGTTGAGATAAAGATAATTTTTTTTTATTTTATAAAATCTTAGTTTTTATAAATCTAATCTCTCAGAGGCTGTTCAAACATAATAATATCAATTAAAGATCTGTAAAAGAAAACCCGGCCCGAACCCGGTCCGGTCCAAACAGTCTTCGGTCCCGGGGCCGGGTATATTCTTAGAATTTTTTTTTAAAAGTATATCTAAATTTATCAATTTTTATGTTGAATTCTTTTATGTAAAAATAAAAATGTGTGATTTTTATTTATAAAAACTAGGCGCCATATGACATATATATTTCATTTTGAGTTAATTTCTATATTCAAATAAAACCGGGCCGGGCCGGGTCGGGCCGGAAAAACTCTTTAAAAAATTTTGAGCCGGACCGGGCTTGAAATATTAGGCCCAGTGCAGATCACTAATGTTAATTCTAACAAGTTCAAAATAAAGTGGTAAATTTTTACCCCTTCTCCAACATTTTTCAAAAAAAAGAAGCATTTTAACAATAATCTTTCTTAAAATAGTAAGTGGAGTTTAAATTACGCGCGTTTTTGCAGCTGGTTGGAAATGGCGGAATAATGAATTTGGAATGATATCATTTGAAAATGGCGCGCTATTCTTTAGTCGCGCCAAATATAGTGTTTTGCAAATTGGACTCAATACGTTAAAATCAATATTTTTACCCGGCAAAAAATATTGTAGCAGGATCGAAGATTATGTTCATAGATTAGTACAAAGGTATGAACATCTGTTACTTTATTCTAAAAAGATTTAATGTTAAAGATTTTCAAAGCCCTTTTGTCAAATTAAATCTTCAATTTAATAGTTATGGATAATAATTCTTAGCTGCTTCATCGAAGCCAAGCTTTTTATAGTACAAGCTAATAACCAAAATTAGTACTATAGGTTTCAGGTTAGCATTTAGTAGAAGAAGGACAAAAAAAAGATAGGAATCCTAAAATCTCTGTTTCCCAACCTCATAGAATTTTTCATCCTGCTAATTATCCTTTCCAATAACTTTTCTGGCCAAAATTGTGAGTTGCCATTTTTAGAAACCGGTTAAAATCAAGCCGTTTAGAAACACTAACCAAATATAACAATAAAATATCTCGAATGAGTTTGCGAGTCATTATTTTTAATGTTTAATATCGCATCTGCATACGGGTAGGTTTTTTTTTGCTGTTTTTAATATTTCTCTCGAATCGCAAACGGTTAATTTAGTTTACTTATATTTTTTTAAAAAGCAGTGAAAAACCAAAATGCAATCCAAAGCGCTCTTATAAAAAATTTATGGGAGGAAGGGGGGGGGGGGTGTGCCACTCAAGGATCTTCCTCACACTTGAAAAAATCTTGAATACGGCTACGAAATATCATTAAGAATTGGTAGGGACACTCACTCCTCTTCGAAAAATGGGGAAAAACATTATTATTGACATTTCAAAACAAAAAAATGTCACGATATCCGTATTTCGTCTTACTGTAGAGAAATTATCTTTTATATATATCGCGATTAGAATTTGTTTTTTTTTTATAAATATAATACGCTTCCACCCCCCAAAAAGTTGCCCTAATTCATTTATCATGGAATGTACATCAAATTAGTGATATACATCGGGCCCAATTTTTCAAACCCGGTCTGGCCCGAACTCAAATTTTTTTTTAAAAAATTTAACCGACCCGGTCCGGCCCGGTTTTATTAAAATATAGAAATTAATTTTCATAATTACTCAAAATAAAAGACATATGTTATATGGCGTCTAGTTCTTTAGATAAAGTCAAATATTTTTATTTTACATATAAACTATTCAATATTAAATTGATAAATTCGAATATATTTTAAAAAAATTTCCAAGGCCCGACCTCTATTCGACCCGAATTTTTTTAAAATATTAGGCCGTTCGGGCCGGGCCGGACTCGAGTTGGGTACCGGTCGGGCCTACTTTTGCACTCTACAACAAATGACTTAAGAACCGTATCCAAAAAAAACTAACAACTTTAGAAATAAGACAAGATACTTCTTAATCGAATTACCTCAATATTAGATCCGATACTTAATATTATACCAATCCAAGCTGCTAGCTTTAGGAAGAATGGTGTACTGGAAAATAACAAATAAATCCACACATATCGGCCTATTACCGAGTAGAAAGGTCTCAAATATATAATATAGGGGTGGCATCGGCCATTTTTTTAAAAAAATGAGTATCCCTTCTGATTATATATTCTTGAAAGTATTATAATTCGATGGATAATAATGTGCCATGAATGGCCATATTTTTTTTTTTGAAAAAAATCTCTTCTCTTCTCTTCTCTTCTCTTCTCTTCTCTTCTCTTCTCTTCTCTTCTCTTCTCTTCTCTTCTCTTCTCTTCTCTTCTCTTCTCTTCTCTTCTCTTCTCTTCTTCTTCTCTTCTCTTCTCTTCTCTTCTCTTCTCTTCTCTTCTCTTCTCTTCTCTTCTCTTCTCTTCTCTTCTCTTCTCTTCGTTTCTCTTCGTTTCTCTTCGTTTCTCTTCTTTCTTTCTTTCTTTCTTACAAATTTTATTTCAATGTGTATATTAAATATTAATCTTTAAAATAAAATTTGAATCAAAGCTCTTTGTTTAATACTTTATGAATTAAATGATATTATGTGAAAGTTGTTTTTCGGGCCATATGCTATGTGTTAACTGGCCATAATATATTATTGAAGAATTTTAATATAAATATGAAATAATAATACAATATGAAATATATTGTAAAAGACATCAATTGTACACTAATTTAATTAGTATTAAAATCTCAATTTATTACCACATCTATTTAATGATAATGTTACAAATTAATATCTTAATTACCATTTTACTAAACATTCTTAAGCTTGTTCATCATTTTATTTCACCAAATGTTGTTTTGCGAGGGCTTTTCATTTTATATGTGAATGTGAATTGTGGCCAATCAATACATGGCCAGTCAATACTCACCTCTCTATTATTATTAAGCGCCTTTATATGTTCTATTAAATAAGCTTTTAAAGTCTAATTTTTTGTGTGAATAATGCTAAATGCCTTAGGATAATATTTATAAAATATCAGTAATCTAAATTAGCAATTTTTTCACCAAACAAAAAAAATGTGTAACGTGATTTTTCCAGAAAGAAGGCACTAAAAACAGTTTATTTGAAATATTTTTTTTATAAAATTGCTCTATTCAATAAATGAACTTAGGTAAGGTACATATCATAAACATACACATTTTGACCAATTTTGAGAGAAATTGGTCCAATAGATAAAAAGTTAAATGATGGTGGCCAGTCTTCACATATGGCCATTTATGGCACATTTCCCCTACTACAAGTGAATACTATCTAAATTTAATATTTTCTAATTTCCCATTTCATTTTTGAGTGTTCACCCAAAGTTAAACCGAAAACTTTTAAAATGGTATAAACCGTTATGAATATCTGAACCGTAACCGTAACCGAACCGATATAATTATTTTTTGAAGGAGTAAAAAAAAACATTTTATAAAAAAAAGTTAAAACCGGTTCAAGCCGGTTTAGTTTTTATACTTTTAGGAAATCAAAAAAATTTGAATATCCAGATTTGTATAAATTTGCTCTTATAGTATTGGCTGTTCCCGCAATACAAGTTTCTGAAGAAAGGGCCTTTTTGGGGCTAAAATTTGAGTTATCGTCAATCCATTTATGTTAAAAAATATATTACTTTTGCGCTTAAATAATATATTTAAAAGTTAGTTACTTTGAATCTTATATATTCATATATATATATCATAGATGCTTATAATAAAAATAAATTAGACGACGGTGTTGCTTCAATAAAAAATTTTTTAGTAACCGTAATGAACCTTTATAAACCTTTAAAATTAGCTGAAGAGCTGAATCTTTATAAAAATTTTCATAAGAACCCTAACCAAAACGTGATCATTATAACTATTTACATTCTGAACCGTTGTAAATAACGGTTCGGGTCCCTGGTTTCTAGGGAACTTGTGTAAACTTTTTAATATTCGAAACACTTTTAAAGTTTAAGATCAATCACTTTTCACTTGTCAGTTATCTAACCTCCATTTTTTTAAAAATTTTGTATTTAGTTATTTGATGCTGCCAGCTACCCGAATCGCAATACTTACAAATTGAGCAGAAGCGTTTCGCGTTGTAATTTTCAAAAACGTCTTCGTTGTTTCAACCGAAATTAAATTATTATTTTTTTTGAATATGAATACACGAAAACAATTATTTTTTTTAACGCAAAAATAAAACGTCCATCAATTGGCATATCAAAAATACGTTTAAAACGCAGAACGCTTTGATTTTTAAGCACTATTATCTAAAATAAACATTCATAGATACTAAATATTTTGATCTAATAATTACAAAGTTATACGAATTTATTATGATTACATGAAGTTAGCCAGGAGTACTACGTCTCCTTAAGCATTCACGCTAGTACCCAGCCCATCCTTACCTTATTAAAAATAAGGAAAACAATAGCAGAATAGGCAATTTAAATTAGTCAAGCCCTCCTTAGTCCTTCATTCCCTAGTTCTTCGCTTCATTTTAATAAAGATAGCGTCTTCATAAATTTCTACCCCCCCCCCCTCAATTTGATGATCATTTTGCATCCTGCCGCATCATAATATTATATTCTCAAAATTAAATTATATATTAAACTTAAGTTCAAAATAATATTTAAAATTTTTAAAAATCGGAAAATTAAAAAAAAAAATATTTTTTTAAAAAAAAATCCATGATATTTCAAAAAAAAAAAGAGAATTAATTTCAAAATTTTAAATATTCCCAACAGGCTTGTTAATCGATCCTTTTAAAAGGATCGAAATCCAGGATCGACCTTTTAAAAAAAGGATCAAGATCTTTTTCTTATTTAAATTCCTGAAGGAAATTACGGATATATGCAAAATTAATTATTATAAAATAAATTTAAATATGGTATAAATTTATTGTAATTATAAAATATAATGTAAGTATAACAATTAGGATATATTTATTTATTATTAAAATTAGTTGTTCAATTATAAAAAATTTTTTTTCTAAGTTATAATCATTTAAACATCCACATTTTCATTAAGTACATTGTTTAGCTTTACTAAACAAGCGCTACACAGAAACGCTTGATGGCAAAGGTGTGTTTTATATATTCAATAAATATTTTTTAAAATTAAAATAAATTTTAAAAATATTCATTGAATCATCGTTTGATTAAAATAAAATTTGGAATAAGCTATTTTGTGAAGAATTTTTCCCCAAAAAGGTATCATTTTTATTCATACATTCATTTGAAGCATCTGCACATGGTTGATCCTGCATATTTTTCAAGTGGACAATTAGGCATCAATATAAGGGCTGCCAATATGTTATTGTCATCATACAGTGAAGGAAATCTGTATTAAGAAATGATAATTAATTTATTAAATCATTCATATAAATCAGTTACTGTAAAACTTAGTCCTTTCAAATTTTACAGTCAGGCCTGGCTCATCATCTATGTGGTATTTAGAATCATATCATAAATATTGATTAAATTCTATATTATATTTACACTTAATATAATTTGAATATACCTTCCATGGCCACTCCAACAATTAGCAGAGGTGCATACATACGGACTTCAGACAAATTATCTTATAAGATTCATTGTCATATTTGTAAAGGCAGTAGATATTTTGTTGCCCAGAGTTTGACGACATATAATTTTTGTCGTTGGAGAAAATGTTTCAATCATTTTCTGAAATGAAGGATCATCAATCTGTGACGGTGGTTGGAAGGTGTCAATAATAAACTCCATTATAACCTTGTCTGCTGTTTTTTTTCAGATATTGCTGGCATGTTGAGATTATAAAAATTTAATTTGGTTTGTTTGGATCTGCAATCAGAACCACTTTAATTTAGCAGAGATTTATTTGTTTGTGTAGAGAATTCACTTTAGTGTTTGGCAGTCTCATTTTTGAATTCACTGTGCTTTCTCTTTATAAAAGAAAAATATAGTATGTATCAGAGTTGGATTAATATAACTTCTCCTGAATTAAATCCCAATTTTAAAATTTTAAATGGAAATTTTTAAAAAAAGGACAATGTACAGGGCTGAGTAAAACCTGTATAAACCAAAAAATGATAAAGGGTACAACACAAATTTTGTTAAACATATTAAAGTATATTAATTATATGTAGTTAGAAGGATCATATAGGTTATCTTAAAATTTCAAGTTTACAACATTATATACCATTATTAAAAGCTGCTCAAGATGATATGGGCAAATAATTTTGAGATAATATTTTCCTATGATATGAATATAATGAGGCTTTTTTGGCATTTAAGTACTTATGGATCATGGGTTTAACACAAATTTTGTTAAATATATTAGAGTATATTATTTATATGTGGTTAAAGGGGTCATATATGTTATCTTAAAAATTCAAATTTACAATATTGTCTAGATGATATGGCATAAGAAAACTGTATTTTTAAAAGAAATAATTTCTTTTAAATGCCTTTTGAGGTTTGAAATACTAATCTTTGAAGAAGACATTTTGTTCTTACATAAAGAGCATTTTGCACTGATCATTGTATAGCTACTTCCATCCGCTCCACGTAAGTAAAATACTTACGTAAATTATGAAATGGTAAAAAATTCTCATTCTCACTTAAATCTGCTGACAGATCAATGTATTATCTTTTAGAACTATAATGGAGGGTATAATTAAAACCTAGAATTTATTTATATTATTTATAATATAATTAAATAAATAAAACTTGTAGGTCCTAAATCTCGTAAATTTTGATGTAGATTGACATTTTTTTAAAAAATAATATTTTAATTTAATTTAATTTTCAAAATTTTTATTTTATTTATGGCTTTTTAAGTAAAAAAAAAAATTTTTTAAAAAATGATCTAGATCACGATCCTAAATTTAAGTCAGGATCATAAATCCGGGAAAATAGACAAATTTAGGATCGAATCCAGGATTGGATATCTTTTGATTCCATCCTTTAGCAACTCTGATTTCAAAGTATAATAGAACTGGAGGTTATTGATTTTTTATGTGTTTTATTAAAATGTCAGATATCTCTGCAATTTTATGATTATTTACAAAAATTTCTTGATGCTTTCTTTTCATTGCATTAAAGACCATGGCGATTTAAGCAATGCTGGGATATGATCGTTGGATATAATGTTCGATATTCTTTTAAAAAAACTAATTAAAATAGGGAAAGATTAATTTTTAAATTAAAATTGTTACAACACATTAATTAAGTACCATTTTGTTTATAAAATGTTTTATGACGTTTATTTCATGGTAGAAAATATATAAAATATGCAAAAATTTTATTATAAAAAATAAATAGAATATTTTAGGTGAGCATCGTGTGTCCTACTTTTTTAAAATTTTTGACGAGGTTATTCTATTTTTCTTAAAAATGAATGTTTTATTTTTCTATGTTATTAAGGTTCTTTTCTGAAAGTTGATGCTATAAATGAAAATAATAGAATATCAAGATTAAAAACCCTATTAATCGAAGTAGAATGTTAAAAATTGAACATCTTATTTCACCAAAAGATAATTTGAATTTTTGTTCTTTTAGGATAAATCCAAATTCATTTGATATGAACATTATATCTCAATGTGTGAGCAGAGACCTGCAAAGGTACCATTTGTATGGCCCAGCCTGGCTCGAAATTTTTTTAAAAAATTTTTTCGGCTTGAATTTTTCCCAAAAATTTTTTTCGGCAAGGCTACCCCGGGTTTTTTTAAAAAAAAATTTTCAGGCCCGACCCGGATTTTTTTAAAATACATTTTATTTTTTTTTTATTTTTACAGCTAAAAATGGCGATTTCAAATATTTGGTTTTAAAATATATGGCCCGGCACGGCCCAGATATCTTTTTTAAAAAAATTTTCAGACTCGGTCCGGCCCGACCCTGGTAAATTTAAAAAATTAAAATAGGGATCTCTAATCGTGAATAATCTCATAAAGCTTACACTAAGTAATTTAAACTTAAAATAAGCCACATCCCACCCTTAAATTAATTAAATTGTAATGTAGTTCTCGGCTATAGGTTTTGGTTTTGCCCAACTCTTCTTTTATCAGCCTATGGACTCTTAAAGAACAGTTCCTGGACTGTTGTGAGTACAAGTATGTGCTGCTTGCCCAAACGTGTAGAGGGCTTCTCATTTTTATATTTACACCCAAATTAATTTAGTTCCAGTTAGATGGCAATGACTAACACCTAGCGTAGCTCTGTTGAATCTTCAAAGTTAGAGGGCATAAGCGTTTAAATCACATATTACATACTGGCTATTTTTATATTTCATAATTAGACATAATTATGTGAAATTTGTTTATATCAATATAACAGCTGACAGATTTTTCTTTTTTTTGTGGATTTGGTTTATATGTATTTTATTTAAACGTGTTGATACGATTTATAATGAAATTTTTTAGCATTATCTTTCTCATATTTTCAGGTATGAAATATTATATTTTATATGTTATAATTTTTATTATATAAGTCTTTAACAGCAAAATTGTTTCACAAGTTGAAACTGATGATGTAAATATAGAGGCTACTGAAGAGGAAACTTTACTGCCAGTTTATGATGTACACAAAGATAATAAGCCAATAAAACAGGATGAATCGGTTATTTTTAAATTTTTATTATTTTATTCATGGAGTTTAAAGAACTTCTATCAAGGTCCTTATTTATTTTCAAATTAATTAATATTACAATACACACCTTACAGAATAATTATATGAATTTATTTATTAAAAATCACAATATATCCTTCTGCTGAGAAATTTATATTATTTGTTTTTTTTAGTTGCAAGCAGGATATGATTTGCATGACATATTGCCCAGCCATGTTCATTCCAAAATTTTATTCACTGATCCTGCCCTTCACACTGTTACAGGTAAATAATTATTTTATGTAATGATGCCATTAACACATTATTAAATTGCTTCTATACCATTCTACTAACATATACCTGTATGATATACTGGATCCATAGTCTTGCACTAAAAAGTTGCCCTATAAATTTTATTGGAAATTTTTAGGTACATTCATTGTAGTCTTTTGGTTAGGCTACATTTTGGTAAAAATTATTGGTTTGATTTTTTAAAATTAAAGTTAGGTAGTGAATATCCAGAGTTGCCATGGTTAGGCTTGCATAAAGTCTTTGTCCATCCTATTTGTCTTGAGTGACTGGAATTGCCTGGAACCTCGCAACCTTTCTATCATTGACTTAGTGTTGCCTAACTTTAGTCAACGATAAAACAGCATAGCCATGTTTTTATCCAAAAATATTTGAATTGATCTTCAAGTTGTAACTCAACTTAAAGGAGGCTAAAAGCTTGGCTAAATCACATTAGAGATGGTCAAAGTTTGGTAATTTAACAATACTACATTGACTGTAAAAGTCCCAACTGCTACTCTAATTGGGCTGGAAAATCTTAACTTGTAATTTTCTCTGTGTAAATATTTTTAGCCCAAACATCAATAATCATCTTGCCCTTCAATAAAAGGTCGCAAAATCAATAAATACTCTGACCTACAGCACAATAATTGTCTTATCACAGTAACGTCCAATACCTTTGGCCCTAAGGATCTGACTCTTATATGGTCCTCTAGGCCTTGAAATTAAGCAAATCTTTTTTTTTGAATTTTATCACTTAAAACAAAGAACCCAAATTGTGATTTTGAAGACTACCTGTCATTCTAATAGTTTCTCATTAATTATATATATTTTTTTAAAATATTTTATTCCAAATTTGTATTTAACTCCGAGATAGTAAAGAATTTTAAATTAAAAAGATATAAAAAATAAATTATTATACCTTATTTATATTTTTCAACTTGTATATGGCTCTTTTAACAGAACTTCCTACAAATACCCCTATTCACGTACTGCTCTCCATAGCTAACCAAGCCACATCTCCTTCTCCTATTCTATTGGAGAAGATAGCTGCTTCCATCAGATATCCACAAGACATTACCTTCTTCATTCAGAACTTTACCTCGAAGTACTTGTCCCACTCTTCTAACCTATGGAATTATAAATATCCATCTGACAACCCTTCGGATAAGTTTTTTCACCTATCCCCTGGCTTTAGGGCCTCCTTTAATTACGACAATATTAGGGCCAGTGAACAGCTGGCAGGAAGACCCTTTACTCTTGTAGTCACCGTGGTGTACCGTGATTTCGTGAGTTCTTATATTTTATTACATTTTTATGATTGACATACAACTCAACTTGCACATTATTTTATATTATAACAAATTTTAAAACATATTTTTATTATCTCAGAATATGAGCCAATACGAGAAGACAATTTTTAACCAAACTGTGATGTTTACAGAACTAGAAACGGGATTAGATGGACAGACGTAAACATTTTCGCAATTTTTGATTTAATAAATAAAATGACGTTTATTGTGTCTTGAAATAATAGTTTGTAGTAATATCAAAAATAATATCCGCTAGGTTCATATTCTTATATTTAGCACAAATGGAGGATGTATTTATTTACACAATCTTATTGGAAGCGCTAAAACTTTTGAATTGAAATGATAAATTGAAAAAATGACCAATTAGATATTATTTATTTTTTTTGTCATATAAAACCAATTTTTTTTAATATAAAAATTTATTTATTCGATGTTCGCAGATTTTTCCTCTATCTCTTAATGGCCGGCTGCATTGTCCTAGCCGTATTATTGTGCCAAAACTTCGTAACTGTTTGGGGGGTAATTTATTTATTTCTAATTTTTCCCATTTTTTTCTCATTCTTTTGTGCATTCTTTTAATATTTTTTTTCAAAGAAAAATCCCCATTAATGTTTTTTGCCGATTCATATGCCGAAGATCAAAAAATCGGATATTTTTAAACAAATATATATGTGTTTGTTTGTCCTAAGCTATCTTGTTAGTTTTTTTTTAAAGTCAAAAAAATAATGGGCGAAATTAGTGCTATAATTATAAAATCGAATGTCAATCAACCCCATATCCACAATATAAAAAACAGAGGAAGAAATTAAACGCCGTGTCTAGTGGTCACTTTTCATCCGGTTCCAGCAACGCTACCTCCAAGTCCTTCGAAATGGGAACGCAGCAAATAGAAGGAGTCGATTTAGATTGGATACCCCTAGAAACTCTGAATCAATACAGTAATTTTCAATATAGAATTATATATATTATATCTTTCGTCTCCCTAAGATAAAAAGAAAATGGATTCAATCTCCCCGAAATTGCATAGAAGAAATAATGCGCCATCTACAGCCACCCACAAGAAATGAACTTTAAAATTATAATTATGACGTTTTTTTTTATCATTTCATCTTTCTAATTATTTCCCTCTCAAATTTTTATATTTATTGTTTCGCAGTTAGCGGTGTTCTCGATTGGAGTCGGTTTTTTAAATACGGTTAACCCAATATTTTAGCCAGAAAATATAGCCTAAACCTTGAAATTTCGCTAACATATGTTCAAACCTTTGTACTATCTGTGACCAAAATCTTCAGGCATGCGCAATACATTTCTGGGTAAAATATCGAGTTGGACCTTTTCTAAGAATCGACTCAATCCAACCGTTCAACAACACTAGTTTGCACCATAAATATCGATGTAAAAAAAAATTATTGAAATTTTCATTTTAGTTTAGTGATTGGAGTAGTTATATTTTAAAATATAATAATAAATTGTTCTATTTGTTTAGTGGGGGGGAAGGTTAAATTTTTTTTAAAATTATATCCCTATTTCAAATTGCGATTTGGTTATTTGATTTACAAATTTTTTTATTTCTTTAATATTTTTGTCATCTTTAAAAAAAATATTGTTAAAATGCAAATTATTGTTTACCACATAAATAATAATAAATATCCTCCGATTTCTCGCTGTCTTGATTGACTGGAGTGACAGTAATCCACTTGACATTTAACAAAAAAATGAATATCACTAATATTTCGGAACAATTATTGTCTATGAAAATAAAATGTTCTTAGAGTATTATTGGTCTACAGGAGTTATTATTAGATATGTTTATAAGGAACCAACATTACCTAAATTACACTGACTGAAATATTAATCAGATAGATGTAGTATCTTGATTAGAGGTCTGCAATAAGCGGGCATGGATGGGCTTTTAATTGCGCGAGAGGCGGATGGGTTAAAGTGATGGGGCGGGCGAACTTTAACCATTTTTTTGGGCGAAATAAGTAGAGCAGATTTCTATTTATTAAAAATAAATAAAGGACCGAACACTGGCCGGGTTAAACAAATTTTTAGGAATTCTAAAAGCTAAACTATGACGGGCGAGCGCTGTAAAAAAAAACACCTCAGTTTTAGACCTCTGATCCAGATACATAAATGTGTATATATATATTCATTTTTATCGGTATACCATAAATGCGGATAAAATTTTGACGCCCATCAACAGTCGCGTCCTTAGCTTTTGCAATCTTAGGGAGTGCGCACCTAAAAATATTTCTGTAAGGCTACCCTCTCATACCCCTTCATTTCACGGGTCTTTGGCCCATTTTTTCCTGGCCTCCAGCCTGGTGGTTACCTTTTAACATATTTTTTTCTTTTTAAATTGTGATCTGCAAACCCTGAACTAGTATTCAAAAAATTTCCCCATTTTGCATATATAAACTTTTAAAATTATAATGAATGAAAGAAGGAAAATAGGTGACATTGTAAGCTATCTCTAGATAATGTATTATAACAAAAAAAATATTTATTTATCAGGTAGGTAACAACTCAAATATCATTCTAATAAATGGTGATAATGATCCGGTTACCACGTATTGATAGATGCTAAGGGTGTTAGGTAGTTAACCTCACCTAATAATGTTATATTAATAATAAATCTATATATATAAGCATTAAAAAAATATATCTAATTAACGAATATAATAATTAATATTACTACAATATCAAAAAATGTTTGTGTTTACCGATTAATAAAAATATTTTACTTAAGCATTATAAAAATAAAAAAAATTCTTTCCTTTCTTTCTTTCTTTCTTTCTTTCTTTCTTTCTTTCTTTCTTTCTTTCTTTCTTTCTTTCTTTCTTTCTTTCTTTCTTATGATATATCTCCCACCCCTTATGTTTAGTGTTACTCTTACTTCTTCTAAGAGTAGAGACAGCTGTTCTAGTAAAAAATGTATATTTTGTAATATGAAAAATGATTTATAGTGCGCACAAATTAAACGTTTGCGATTTGCCGTAATTTTTTAATCAAAAAAAAACGTAACGCATCCCTTGTTTAAATTGAGATTTTTTATTAATAAACTATATTATCGTCTGCCTTTATATTTCATTGATCTTCTAAATATTCCACTTTAAGATATTAGCAAGTTATTTTTTTTTTAAACATTATATTACAAAATGGATTTAAAAATAGAATTGAAAAAAGCCAATCTGTTTGCGTTAAATGGTTGCTAATTCCAAACGCAAATTTTCCTAATTTGCACGATTGAAACGCACTATTAGAGTGGGATAAAATGATAACTTGTTTATACGCCTATTGTTATCACACGTAATCGTCTATTAAAATCATTAGAAATATTATTTACAGCACGTTTTCAATGCTCAAAAATGGCCAACAAATCTAATTGTTCCTGTCTTACAATTCGGGTGCTGGTTTAAATTATAATACGAACCTTTAAAATTTCGTATTCTGGATCAGGAAGATTATGACGTAAAATAAATGTCTTAATTACATTAGAATTTTTTTTTAAAAAAAAGGGAGGGATAGCAGTGACATTCATAGAAGCAAGGAAAGCATTGCTCCCCTTGTAATCTCTTATAAAATTCTTAAATAAAATTATTAAAATCTATGCTGTGTTAAAAAAAAAATTAATACTAATTTTACTGCGCTAAAAAAAATTTTTTACTACCTACTATCTTAAAAAAAATTTTATTATTTTAAATTACGTTAAAAAAATAATTTTTAGAAAAAATTTAGAAACTCTTATAACAATGATGAAACTAAATGTGCCCAAATAAGTAATAGAATAGTGCGCGCAAAATGAACGCTTCAAAGCAGCGTTTCAAAACGCAAATAAAAAAAACGTAAACGTTACCTATGTGAAGCGTTAACTTTTATTTTTTTTTCAATATGAAACGTCTAAATTACTAAACAAAAAAAAAGGCTTGTCCTATATTTAATTAGAAAATCTTTTTGTAATATCCAATGACATATATAATACCTAGACTGACGATTAATTCATTAAAAGTGTGCATCAATGCAAATCAGCTGGAGACGCCATCTTAGTTACACTAATCATTATTAAAATTTTAAATGAGAGCCTAATTTATTCCTATATCTGATGCAAACTTTAATCGAGATAATAAGGAAGCAAGTTATCAATTTAATAATAGTTTTTAACATGAGAAACTATATCTGTTACCAAAATGGCGAGTCCAGCTGATTTTCTTTTACCAACGCTTAAAAAAGCATTTTAATGATAGAATGAATCGTCAGTCTAGGTATTATATATGTCACTGTTAATATCATAATTCTAAAATCTAAAAATATTATTATATCATTTGATATAATTATTTAACTTTTTAGAGGATGTTTGTGATCCACGCTATCACTCCAAAATTTAAAAACGTTTTCAAAAAACGCAAGATATTTTGTTTTTTAATAAACGATTTATAATACGAAACAGAAATAATTCCAATTTAAAACGAATGCATTATTTTGCGTTTTGAAACGCGGCGTTGAAACGTTCAATTTGTGGGCATGCGCAGCGCTTTAAAGATTTATTAAATTTGAATTAATTTTATTTACTTTAAAAAAAAATTTAAATGCGTTCTCACCTCCAATTTATTAGGCGATAAAAATTCGGCGTTAAACCGCCGCTCCCGATTTATAACTTGCCACCCACAGTCTAAATATAAGGGTAATTTACACGCAAAAAACACAAGAAATGCAACAACGTTAAGACTTTATATTCCATTGCATCAATATTAATAGAAACCAATCAACGTTTCGTATTGGATGAGAAAAAAAATGGTACGGTAACCAAAAAATTGGCTAAAAGCGTATGTCGTTTCTCCAAAAAAAAGAAGATGGGGTCACACAAGAATTAGTTTTAAAAATAAAAATTTGAATTTGAAGACCCAAAAAAGTTATATATCCTTTTCCCCTATATTTTCATTTTTATAGTGTTGCTAAATTGTTGGGTCAGGTTTGAGCCGGAAAAAACGACTTTAAACCCGAGCCAGCTGATTTAGCCATAGACCAGACCCGACACAATGGTCCCCATAAGCCGACTCATCGGGGCTCGATGGATCGGCTTGCTGGGTCGACAAAGATTTAGAAAATTAAACTAGTTTGTTTTTATCTGGGTTAGATTTTTTGATATTAGAAAGAAGTTTCAAAAATCTTTGGCTCTTAGAATAAATTGGCACTATCATTATTTTAATCCACGTGGAAAAAAAATATGAAATTTTTTAAAATTTTGTTTTAAGTCTATTTAAAAGTTTTTGATACTAGAAAGATCTTGAACCTTTTGGTCGAGTAATAAATTGGCACTACCATTATATTTTACCCCACGAGGAAAAAAATTATGAAAAAATTTAAAGTTAAAGGTCTTTGATACCAGAAAGATATTCTAAAACCGTTGGTTTCTAGTAATAAATTGGTACTGCCATTAAATTTTACTCCACGAAGAAGAAAAATAATGGAAAATAAATACTAATCATACATGAAATAATTTTTTTTACTTTATTTTCCTTAAAAAAATTATCTAGCTATAAAACATTTAAATAAAAATATTTTACAATTAAAGAAAAAATAAATTTTATAAAAGCACATATAGGTGGATGGATATGGAGTTACATCCTTAAATTTGCGAGGGAGTGAAGAGGGAGAGAGAGTATAGGATCATTTAGCTTCCAAATATTTTGAAGGGGTTAGGAGGTAAGATAAATTTATTGGGAGAGTTATAAATTAAACAATTAGATAAAAAGCGCAAATAATATTGCTATAAATATTTATTAATTACTTTTGATTTAGACCCAGCGTCTACATGAACCGAGGGGTGGGGTTGGGGGGGGGGGGGTTGTAGGATACATTTTTAGGGATCAGGGTTATCTATTAAATTTTGAGATCAAATACAAAATTTATTGCTGTAAAAAAAATTAATATTATTATTTTAGACACAAATCTATATATTGCAAACAATTGCAGACATTATTTCCCAAATAAACTTTCTTACATTCTTACAAATGTAATTTAAAAGGCTTAGACATTTTCAGCAAGCTCATAATACTATAATAATGAATTCATTGTAAATGATGGGGGTTTTAATTGAATTAATTATCTAGAAAATAACTCTTTTAATTTACAAAATGTCGATAGTTGGTAGTAGATATAAAATAATTCTTTTTAAATTTTCTGAAAGGATAATCATTATAATTAAAAAGGTGAAATTAAAAATTGGGAAACATCACCGCCCGAAGGTGGTGGTAATTTATTAGGGGGGTAGGCATAAATTTTTGAAGGGGGTTTGCATCCAGTGAAATCATGTCATGTAGACGCTGTATAGACCTGTCATAATATGCATATATTGCTAAGCATAGACCAAATCTAATTATTTTTTCAAATAAAATTTTTTTTCTAGATAATATTTGCTAATATTTTAACATCTAATTTACAAGACTGAGACATTTTATCAGAAACTCTTATTTATGCCAAACAATGCACTATGATAACGGATTCAACATTAATGAGAGTGTATATATGTATCTTTTTAGTCGTAAAAATTAATATTATTTTAATGAGTCATAGTTGTAAAAATTTATTTTATTGAGTCATGGTTGTTGTAAAAAGTAATATTATATATTTTTTTTTGATTATTAATAAATTTATATTTTTTTATTATTAATAAATTTATTTTATTAATTTCAAAAAAATATAAAAACCCCCCAAAAAAGAGAAAAAATCAATTATAAAACATTTTTTTTTTAAATTAATATATTTTGAAATTTACTGTTAGAATATTTTTTTTTGTTGATTAGTGAAATAAAATAAATAGAATCGCGGAAAAATTCAAATAAAGAAGAAAAAAAAATTTTTGCATTCAAATAAGGAAAGTATATAAAACCCCAAATTGCTATAAGAAAATATATATATATAAACATAAAAGATAGGAATAATTTTCTGATACTTAAAAAGAAAAATTTAAATTATCAATAGGGATTACCCTAATAATTAATAACATGTAGTTAATAAGGTAAAAATATGATAAAAAATTTTTTTTGGGGGGGGGGGGGGATATATGTTTTAAGGGGGATTATTTAGTGAATATTCATTCATGTAGACTATGGTTAGATTTTCGATTTTATATTTATAAATATCAAAAATAATTATTACTATTTATATATGTGTCAAAAGAAGAGGAAATAAATTTTATTTTACTACATAAAAAATTATCGGGAAGCAAAGTTAACATTTACTTTTTAAAAAGGTTATAATTTGAATAGTAATAAAATATTATCCTACATTTAATATTATATTATCGAAGTTAATCCAATTACATATTATTAGAAGTTAAATTTGATAATTATATAAAAGTATATATATTCAAATGGATTACAAATAAAATTCATTATTGTTTTTAAACATAATAGATACAATATTACTTTTTTTTTATTAATTAATCCAATACGTTAAATATTTTTTTGGATAGGGGTGGGGGGGGGGGGGGTATGTTTTCAACGAATCTACGAGATGCTAATATTAGTAATCTAAAGAAAAATATAAATGACTATTATTAAACGATTTCGTCCTTGACGCCAAAAATGATGAATTTATTTTAATAACAATATTAAGATTTAAATGCCCTGGATTAATTTCTCAGATCTTATGTTTTTGGATAACCCAACAATTTGGAAACATAAATATGCACAGTATTGCTTGGCATGAATAAAATAAGACGGAAAATAAAATGTTAGCTTTTATTATTTTACCAAATATTTATATAAAATATCAAATTTTGGATTGGAAAGAGGTATGTTATAGTTTATAGAAAGATAATCCTAAAAAGGAATATTAATAAGATAAAACAATATTTATAATAAATTTTATTTTACTCTCTTAAATTAATTCACAAATTTTCACAAAATCAAACCTTACCAACGGAGATTTCAAGAAAAAAGCTGCTTCACATTCTTTCCCTATTAGAGGTACCTGATTTGTTTCCAGTGCCTACATTACAAAATATTCACTAGATTCAACCCACCCTTCAAAACTATATCTACTCTCTTAAAAAACTCGTTTCACATTTTTAATTTTAATGTTAGTCCATTCATAAATTTTTAAAAGAATAGTAAATTATTATCTGCTGTCAACTGTCAAAACATTGTGAATGCAAGAGTTATTTTTTAGAACATGAATTCAATTAAACTCTGGGGGGGGGTGGCAAAATATTATATAGGTAATGCATTATTGTCATTCAGTATTTTGTTGATATAATTTATAACCCTTTAAAATTTTATTTAGAGGGATATCAGAAAATTTATAGATTATAAAATAGTGTCTATGATTGTATGTATAAAAACATTTGATTGATGTTCAGCAATATCATTGTAATATAATAGGTCTAAAGTATTAATTAATACAGAGATACATTTTCCATATTTTATCTAAAAATTTAATAAATAATTGCATTTTAAATTATTCCACCTCTAGCCTACTCACCCTTCTCACCTTAAAAAAAATAGGATACAAACTTTCCCCCACCGCTCATGTAGACTCTGTTTGCTGGGAAGAATAAATTAAGGTTTTTAGTGAAACATTATGTCTAAAATTATAGAAACGATATTTAATAAGGTATCTCATTTTTTTTAAAAAAAATTCAGATTTATAATTTATAAATTAATTTTAGACCTTTTGTCGTACCTTATAAACTGCTTAATATTGCCATATGATCCATGGTGATAAATTTTTTTCGCAATCGCCCAATTATTATATTTAAATTTAAGTATTAATGAAAATAAACATATTATAATTTAATTATCATTTTAGATAAATCTATTTATTCATAATATATCATGTTTTTTAAAAAATTGCTTACATATAATATAAATTTTTCATGGAGTTGACAAATTGCTCCAATACTTTGATTTCTCCTTTACAAACTGAAACCAATAATGCTATTGTCCATAATGAATATTCTCAGCTAGAAATTACAAGTTATTATATTTTAATAAAAAAATCATATCTTTTTCTTTAATACAATTTTCTAAATTAGGTTCTATAATATCTAAAATGATACATTTTGTTATATATAGCACATTAAATAAATTGATAACATAATTTTTTATATAGTATTGCAGGCAAAGTTGAATGTGACTAGCTCAATATTCAAAGCTGATCCTTATGTTGAAGTAAATGCAGATGATAAATCAGTTAGGAAGACCAGTATTATCAGAAAATCTTGGGAACCAGCTTGGAATGAAACATTTTCAATGTTATAATTGTTTACTTATTATATAAATTATATTTATAAATAAATTTTAATCTATATATTGTCAGACTCACAAAACCATCTGAATAACAATATTAAATTATTTTTTGCATTAATATGTTTTCTACCATATCGTATAAGCTTGTAAACTAATTTATAATAAAAATGCCTTATTTTACTATTATTTAAATCTTCCTAAATTGTCTTTTGTAAAATTTAAAAACTATTAGATGGTTTTGCAGTGAAAGTGACAATTTTTATTTTAAACCTTGTTTTTTTTACTTAAATATTTAAAGATAATATAAAAACATATTTTAAGTACTTAAATATATTTATACCCCTTACCATTTTATACTTTTATTTTGGTACAAATGTTGACCATTTTAAATGAAATCCAGCAATCCAATTTTTATTAGAACCCATGGCCAGGGTGCACCTGTCCATGTAATACCCTCAGAACAGTTGACTAGGTCAGACCTGATTAAATATTTTAATTTTTGAACAAGATTGTATGAGGCCTAGAACCCATAAATTTGGGCTAAGGCTTAAAAAGTAAACTCATTTTATTTCATACTTTATTAAATAAAAATGATAATTTGAACATTCTCTGATTAGGACAATTCATTTTGTTAATTTGATACATTTATTTATTAATAAATGTTTATTTTCAGGCTTGACTTGGCTCTAAAATATGAACCACACATCAAAATATTGGATTGCATCTTTATTTCTCCAATTTAAAACATATTTTTTATGAATTATTTATACATTTTCTGATATGCCATTGATTTTTCTTGCAAGAATTATATATGAAACCTAATAAAGCATTTTGAGATAGTTACATATAGCCTTTTCTTTTATTTTATACAATATCAAGAATTATAATCATGCTTTTCCTTTATTCTCATCTTTCATCTTCAGAAGTGGATGTTTTCCCCTCTCCTAAAATTAATTATTATTTTTTTTATTATGAACATTGATATATTTCCAAACCTCCTCCAGTAACAGGATCAGTAGTTTAGCAAACTAAATAGAAGTTTACTATCAAGTATAGATTGTATACATGATAACTACATGTGAAATAACTTTTTTTATAGGGTTTATACCAGGTTTATCCTATTTTTAATAACAACATGTATGTTAAAAATATCTGAAGAGTAGGGCGGTGCCATATTGTATCAGATCATAGTCGATATTTAGCATTTAGGAAAAATTTAAAAATTACTAATCTGATTTATAGTTTCTGGTTATTTTATAATTGCATATATAATATTGTAATATTTTTATACCTGATTTAAATAATAAATTAAATTAAAAAAGAACCAAAATTTAATTTATTGTTATAGCTCGCGCAAATTGAGCGTTTCAAACGCTGCATTGCAAACGCAAATAATGCGTTTCAAATGGCCTCGTGCTTGGTAAAATTACCTTTTGGCGTTAGTAATCAATGACATATAATAATACCTAGACTGACGATTCATTCATTAAAAGTGTACATCAATACAAATCAGCTAGAGACGCCATCTTGGTTACTGTAATAAATATTAAAATTTTAAACGAGAGCCTAATTTTATATTATATCTGATGCAAACTTTATTAAAGAATTGCCTGATCATCGAGATAATAAGAAAGTAAGTTATCAATTTAATATTAGTTTTTAACATGAAAATAATTATTATAAAGGTTACCAAAATGGCGGGTCCAGCTGATTTGCTTTTAACGACGCTTAAAATGCATTTTAATGAATGAATCGTTAGTCTAGGTATTATTATATGTCATTGTTAGTAACCATTTAAAAAAAACAAACAGGTTTGCACTTTTTCTTTACCTTTCTATTCTTCGTTTTGTAATATATAAAATGTAATAAATAATAACCTACCTTATATCCTAAAGAGGAATATTTAGAAATTAAAGAAATGAGAACGCAGACGATAATATATTTAAAATTTTAAATCGACGATATAAATAAAAAGGTAACCTCAAATTTAAACAAGGGATGCGTTACGTTTTTTTATTAAAAAATTACGGCAAAATGTAAACGCTCAATTTGTTGTGTGCGCTATAAAACAATTATTATTTTTTACAAATCTAATATGACCGCCAATATTTTGAAGCGATGAAATTTATAAAATAAATCTTTTTAAATTATAAAATTATATAGTGATTGATATTCTATATATATATATTATGAGATAATTCATTAATCTTATATTTTTATATAAAATAAAAGGGATAATATTAAAATAATATTATCAGAAAAAAAAAATAATTAAGGAAAAAAGAATTTTAAAAGGTCACTTCCAGACAGAACGTTTTTTTCAAACGATTTTTGGGTAATGTTACCAGCAATTTTTTTTAAATATTTATTTCCAAACAAAAGATAGGAATTTGTAGAATTAAATTTTTTATATAATAGTGCGCACAAATTAAACGTTTTAAGGCAGCGTTTCAAAAACGCAAATAAAAAAACGTAAACGCAGCTCTGTTTAAATTGAGCCGTTAATTTTTATTTATTTTTAATATGAAACGCATAGATTTAAAACAAAAAATTAATGATGACAATTTAAACGAATCCATTTAAAATGTATTATTTGCGTCTTAAAACGCTAATTGTGCACACTATTTTAATGGAGCCGCATTTCAGACGCCATTTAATCATAAATAGAAAACCAACTGGTTTGATTTTTTATTAACTATTAAATGACGTCTGACTAGGGACTCGAGCAGATGATTTTAAAATATTATATAAAAAAAAAATTAATTCGACAAATTATTATCTTTTGTTTGGGAAATAAATAAAAAAAAAAACTAAGAATTATCATTAAAATAACATGAAATAGAAAAAAAAACCATTGTAAGAATATGCGAAAATTATGACATCTCTTAAAAATTACTACACTAATTCTAGAATAGCAAAATATATGATTCTACATTTAGTAGTGATCTCAGAATCCTACACCGTTCCGTGAGTTAATTTTTTTGAGCCTGCCTGCGTTGACCTCTAGTTATTATAATATTCAACGAAATTACGGAGGTCTTGTATTTTTTTTTATTCCGAATTCCGAAATTGATCAGATCGGCTCCATTTTAGAATATAATATCTATATATAAAATACAGATTAGTCACCCCTTACTCTAAATTAAACTTCAAAGTGTACGACAAAAAAATGGTTTGGAAATCTAACGAGCTTCTGTGTCAATGTAATTTCGAATTGTATCGTCTGCTTTTAAGACTCAGGGGAAAATGTAATAATTATTTTATCATTACTATCGCACCTATAAATTTTAATTAAAGTAATATAGTAGGGATGTTCCAGTTAGGAAACAAAGTTTTTGGATGTATATGATATCTATGATGTATTGATATTATTTTTAAAAAAATTTATTATTAAGATATTTTTGATTACTTATCCAATCGAATACTCATTTATTCCTATAAACCTAACCACGTTAATTTCGAAATATTTTATTATATAATTTATTCACTATTATGGATAAATTCGAATGATGATATAAACATACTTTTAAATATTTTTTTTTAAAAAAAATAAAAATTAAATGAAAGTGAGCAATGTTCGTCTGCTTTTAACCCTTACGTCCGATCGTCTGCCCAAAGGCGGAGGCGTGCAATTAAAAAGCGGCAGCCTGGACGTGATATTGAATTCTAACCCGTTTGATCTTACCAAATTCCCTCCTCAAAGATTAACCTCATCCAATCAACGTCATTCCATTTCAGCCAATGATTTGTGGGGTATGTAAATTTTTCCTTCAACAGACTTTTTTTATTTTTTTACTAAAATATTGTTTATATCTGATCGCTAGGATATTTAAACTTTCCTGGGCATTGCATTGGTAAACAGTAATTTATATAATTGACCTCCATTTTACACTGAAGACTAGAAATATGAGATCTGAGGACAGGCAAGGGCCAAAGGCCGTACCATTTTTTTAAAAATTGATTTCATAGAATTTGAACAAAGAAATTCGATGAATATTTTTTCGCCATTATCGTATTTTTAAAATCTACTGCCAATTATTTTAGTTGCCCTTGGGGAACTTGCCTATCCCATCTTTCGGCTAACTTTTAAACCTCACCTTGAGGGTGCAAAAAATACGGTTTTCAAAATTAACCGAACTCGAGAATGTTTGCTATTTGCGCTTTTTTTTAATTACCAAAAATATTGGTTAAGATGACTCAGTATATTTTAGTCCTAACAGACCCTTTATCCCTCTAAGAAAGAAACAAAAGAAATAAGGAAGGAAAATTTAAATCAGATGGTAGGGATTAAATTAGATATTCTCCTTTCTCGATCACCGAACAGAAAAAAGGTTCATAGGATATTTTTTAAATTTGGAATGTTGCTCCAGGTTAATGGTAATCAAAAACAGCTCTTTAAAAAACTTATATTTTGAGGCAGTTGAAGATTTTTTACAAATAAAAATGGCAAAGATTCTCTCCATAAAAATTTTATCACTAATCTTGTTTGGTGACTCAAATGAAATTTTTATTATTCCAAGCAGCAACCCTTCCTTACCAAATCGTGGAGGAAGGAAGCAACGAAATCCCGAACCCTTCTTCGACAGAAAATAATCATGTGAATAATAATCTTGATTCGCCCAATGCGGTGCAAACGCCGTCTGCGCCAATGCCATCAGTTCCGGATGCTACCAATCACGATTCTCGAAACGACGTTGTAGCAAATTCGATGCCGCATGGCCTTCAAAACGTTTCCTCCAACAATCGCGAAACAATTTTAGCCAATGGGCCTACCGTTTTGTACAACGACGGAGACCCGAGTTCCTTGTACTATTCCCCTTCCATCCTTCAGCATATGAGAAATTTCCTGGCACCTTTATCTAATAGTGGTTTATTGTTATATTTTCTTCCATTATCAAACCCTCTTTCCTTGAAAAATCTTATATTTAAAATAAAATATTTTTCGTATTTTACAATTGTAAAAATTCTAATTCGAAGTAGACTCGAATCAATGGGGCAATTTTTTTTTGGAATTGAGTTGGACCTAAAAAAAGTCCTATGCCGGGCTAGGGTTATAACTGACCACCCAATGACATATAAGAAGACCTAGACTGGCGATGCATTCATAATATTGCACTTGAAAGCGTCGCGGAATGCGAATCAGCTGAACCCTTCTTTTTGGTAACCCATTAGTAATTATTCTCACGCTAAAAATTACCATTAAATTGATAACTTGCTTCCTTATTACCTCCGTGATCAGGCAATTCTTTGATAAAGTTTGCGTTAGACATAGGAATAAAGTGGCAATAATAATATGGCATGGGTAATCAAAATGGCGTCCCCAGCTGTTTTCATTGATGCACAATTTTAATGAATGCACCGTCAGTCTAGGTATTGTTATCGGTCATTGAACTGTCCGTATAATGTGAAATTCGTTTAGTAGTGACTCTAGGTTGTTATTGTGGTATATAATATATACAGGAGGCGATTGATAAAACACGATGGTTTTTAAGGGAATTAATATATTTCAGGTTTAAATTTCCTATTATATATAATAAAATATAATAAATAAAATAAATTAGGTAATACAACCAACGCCAATCAGAATAATACCTTAAATATCAATAACGAAAACGCTAACCTACACAACCCCCCTAATTTATTACCTCCAAACGCGCCGCCAACATCGGTAGCTTCTCCACCCTCGCATTCCTCCCTACCCCCGCGTCCGCCCCAACCACAACCGAACAATGTCATTTTACCTCAAGGGTAAACTAACTTATTTTACGACTTGTTTAATCGAACGGCTTTATACTTGAGCAATATTTTTTTTTTTTATTCTTCACCAAAAACAAACACTTTCAGATAAGCTGTTCTTCCTTTTAACATCCCAAATCTCAACATAATATATAATTGACAATGTAATAACACCGGGGCTGAATTACTTATTTTCTTTTCCTTCCGTTTGTTTACTAAATTATCATTAAATTAATTAGATGGGAAGCTAGATTGGATCCAACGGGTCGGCCTTATTACGTGGATCACAATACCCGTTCCACCACTTGGGAACGCCCCTCGGAAAACGATGCCTCGCCAGACCTTTCTCCTTCTTTGCCTGAAGGGTGGGAGACCAGAGTGGATCCTAATGGCAGAACTTACTATGTCGATCACGTGACTCGCAGCACTACGTGGGCTCGGCCCACTCCCCGCACCCTGAGGGCTTACCGGGATTGGAGGGACAGAGTTAGGGCTGATTTAGAGAGGGAGGTGTCTAACGAAGAGGTATAATTCGCCTTTATTATAATTAAAGTTGGGTCATGGTTAGACTCAATCCACAGTCGCGCGCCGATGAAAATTCGCAAAGCATCGAGGCGTGAGTTTTTTTTTATCTGCCTTGGCTAAAGTTGAGCTATATTTTTATTCAGATCGGAGGCGGAAAAATCAGTTAAAACGGCTAAAAATAGAGTAATTACTAGTGTTGTTAAACGGCTCGTTTTGAGCCGATTTTTAAAACGGCTAACTCAATATTTTAGCCACAAAAATATTGCCTAAGCTTCGAGATTCGATAATATATCTCTAGACTTTTGTTTCCTTCTAGGAACAAAATCTTCAGACTTGCTCAATATTTTTCTGGATAAAATATTGAGTTAGCCGTTTAACAACACTAGTAAATCACCCAACTATATGCATTGTAATGTTGCAAAAAAATGGGAAATTTTAAATGAAATTATGTTTTATTATGGTCAATTATTGTTTTACTTATATATTTTTTTTATAGAACTTTCCATCCAGCACAGAGAGAAGTGACCCATTAGGACCCTTACCTTTTGGATGGGGTAATATTGCGTTTTTTTTTAATTAAAAAAAAAATTATGATTGATCGCATGTCGGCAACATCAAAAAATAATTCGAAAACTTTCTAAACTTTATCGAAGAACACGTGATAAGCCTTGTTTAATATAAAAAATTAAGAATTGCACCTGCCAAAAATTTTTTTCCTCCCATAACTTATATAACTTAACATTCGTCTTTATAGGTGTTTCTGAGACAATAATGTGTAAGAAAGTTTTTATGTATTGGGGATAAAATGAGTTCTGTCCGTAAATAATATATATATTTTTTTAAAGTCACGAGTTGGTTTATTTTGTGACAAAAAAAATAATTAATGGCATTAATTATTGATATGCGAGTGATATTTTACCGAACGGGTAAAGATTATTCAAAATTAAAGTAAAGGGAATCGTTGTCAATAAAAAATACTAAAATGTTTACCATGGAAATATATAAGAAAATATTAAAATATTCTGTAGAAAAAAGGACAGAGTCCAATGGAAGAGTCTATTTTATCAACCATCGAAGCAGAACTACTCAGTGGGAGGACCCTAGAATACAAGGGTTACTATTTCGTATTGCATTATATTTATTTTATAATAATTTTTGTATTAATATTCGCACTGGTGATGGTTATTATCCTCTCGAAATTTTATTCCTCATATTCGAGAGGCTTGTTATGAATGTGTAGGATAAGATGCGAGCAATGCTTTTGGAACGTAAAATAATTTAAAGAGAATTTAATAGAATAGAATAGGAAATGCGAAAGATATAATGGAATATAAATGCATGAAATGAAGATAAAATAAATATGATTAGAATGGACTAATAAAAATATTATTATTTTTAATTAAAAAAAAAGATTCACTGTAACCGAAGACCCATTGCCAGAAGGTTGGGAAATGAGGTACACCAGTGAAGGCTTAAAATATTTCGTTGATCATAACTGTCGCAGCACCACGTTTCAGGACCCTAGACCTAATACCTCGGCATCCAGCACTAGTTCGAACCTGCCTGGGTATTCTATCTTCCTTTTTATTACATTTATCATTTCTATTTTACTTAGATTTTATTCCTAAACGCTTCACGCTCAACAGCTCACCTTTATATATCCGCGTCGATAATAATCTAGCCCTCCACTTCTATTATTTTTTCTAAATTATTTAAAATGAATTTATTTTGAAAATTTTTTTCCCCTCTCATGTAAATCCCTTCTATCTGTTTTTCTCTTCTTTTTTTGGTAGGAAAGTAATTAAATTACAGCGGCAGCCCAAAGTAGGGTCTGGTTTCCAGTTCCTACCGGTTAATAAGCAATCAATACGAAAAAATTGTAAAATGAACCCGAGTTAATCCTTCACCGCTATAACTGATACAGAGTACTAATCTCATTAACCCCCCCCCCCCCCCCCATTTACACCCACCTTTTCATATACGATTATAAAGTCACAATTTTATCCAAAAAAATATGTTATTTACTTCTTTTTTTTTATCTCAGAAAGCAAGCCATTCCCATCACATACGAAAGGAGCTTCAAGTGGAAACTTGGGCAGTTCCGATACTTGTGCCAGTGCAACATGTTGCCGAGCCATATCAAGTTAACCGTCACGCGGGATAATTTATTCGAGGATTCGTTTCAACAAGTTTTTTTTCTCTCCCATTTGTAACCATTATTTATATTAACTCGGCTTAATTTTTATGACCTTCTGCCAATTTTATATTTATCTAAGCTAGAAACATTAACGAATAATCCATTATAAATTCGAAAATTAAGTAATTTAAAAAAAATAAAATAAAGATTTTTTCATAGCAAAACAAGAGATAAAAATTCTCGATTTTCCAAATTTAATACAAAAATTTTATCACTGAAAAATGAGCCTAAAAAATAGCTAACGCTGAAATATTGGTTGACATATTAAGTTTCTTATTTTTTTATTTCTTATTTCTGTAAATTAAATATAATATAATTTTTATCTCTCTATATATTGAATATAACAATTTACTTTATTTCCTAATAATACATATAACAATTTTCTTTAAACAGAATAATAAAAAAAAAGTGTTATAAATTCTTTTTTTTCAGGGTTTTTATAATCCACATAAATAATAATAAAAAAAATATTGATAAAAAAACAAATAATATCGATTAAAAGAAATAATATTGACAAAATTATAATATTGATAAAAAAAAACAAATAATATCGATTAAAAGAATATGGGTAATAATAAAGAAAAACAATACATATAAATTAAAATAAGCGTGCCTATCACATGCCCCCCATAAAAAAAAATCAATTAACTTACGCGAAAAATATTATACCGCATACAATATTATTATTAATCTCGGTTTAAAAAAAAAATATAATTTGTTTTTGATAAATTTCATCTCACTGCTCTTGGAATAATTGTTCCAATTCATCGGCCGATAGATCTACTATCGGCCATTCTTCAAGTAATTCTCCTAGATCATTCGAAAGTGGAACCTGTTCTTGAGACGGTCCTATCACCGCCACTGGTTGCTCTACTTTCGTCGTTCCACTATTAATTGTTTGTAAACCCCCAGCTCCCGTTACTGCCGGTAACGCTGTCCGGACGGAATAGGTCCCTCGAATTTGCCCACCATTATCCCTATCGTTTCTTGACCGTACCAAATTTCTTCTACGGCCCGCGGGGTCATCGAGCCTGTAAAAGTGTATATATTGGGAGAATATCACAATTCCCATTAGTATCTTCAGGGGCAGGGTTGACACGGAGGGAAATCGTATATATCCAGGATCGAGACCCGATCCCAGACCCCGCGAAATAGACAAACTATAGAATTGTTCAACGGAATGGGTCATGGATCCGAGTTACCCCAGCCCAGCCATTCGGGTTTAAGTACCGTACGGAATATTCGGTTATGTTTCATCTGCGGAGCAAGGAGTCATTTACAGGCTCGATGCCCGCGTGGGCCCCGCCATGGTTATACTGGATGGAATTATAGAAGAAATTCGGTACGGTCATGAAACGATAGGGATAATGGTGGGCAAATTCGAGGGACCTATTCCATCCGGACTGCGTTACCGGCAGTAACGGGAGCTGGGGGTTTACAAACAATTAATAGTGGAATGACGAAAGTAGAGCAACCAGTGGCGGTGATAGGACAGAACAGGCCCCACTTTCGAATGATCTAGGAGAATTACTTGAAGAATGGCCGATAGTAGATCTATCGACCGATGAATTGGAACAATTATTCCAAGAGCAGTGAGATGAAATTTAACAAAAACAAATTATATATTTTTTTTAAACCGAGATTAATAATAATATTGTATGCGGTATAATATTTTTCGCGTAAGTTAATTTATTTTTTTTATGGGGGGCATGTGATAGGCACGCTTATTTTAATTTATATGTATTGTTTTTCTTTATTATTACCCATATTCTTTTAATCGATATTATTTGTTTTTTTTAATCAATATTATAATTTTGTCAATATTATTTCTTTTAATCGATATTATTTGTTTTTTTATCAATATTTTTTTTTTATTATTATTTATGTGGGTTATAAAACCGTGAAAAAGAAGAATTTATAACACTTTTTTATTATTATTCTGTTTAAAGAAAATTGTTATATGTATTATTAGGAAATAAAGTAAATTGTTATATTCAATATATAGAAATAGGAAATTGATATATTAATATCTGAGATAAAAATTATAAGGAAATCGGTAAAGAAAATTGTTATATTTAATTTATAGAAATAAAAAATAAGAAAGTAATTAAAAAAAACAATTTAAGTAGAATGAATATGAATTGACAAATCAATAAGTAGTAATGGAAGGAATAATGAGTGAAGCCAAATTTTTATATCCTTTTCTTCCCCTCATAGTATACTTATTACAACCCAATATTTCATATGATCCTGTTTAAATTATATTTATTAATTGATATACCCATATCGGTCAAGTCTATCTTTTTCTTTTAGAAAATATATTGAAAAACGTCCATAGAAATCGACAGATACAACAATACTAATATATTGATAATATTTTTTTTGTCCCATTCCACTTTGACGCCAGATAATGCAGTGTACGGCCGTAGATTTGCGGAGGCGACTCTTCATCAACATCAAGGGCGAAGAAGGTCTCGACTACGGAGGCGTAGCCAGGTGAGAGTCGGTTTAATTCCAACTCGTTTATATTTTCCTTTCAAACTATACAGAGAATGGTTCTATCTGCTATCCCACGAAGTTCTCAACCCGATGTATTGCCTATTCGAGTACACCGACCAGCACAATTACGGTCTTCAAATCAACCCGGCTTCGTTCGTTAACCCAGATCATTTGCTATACTTCAAATTCATAGGACGATTAATAGCCATGGTTAAATCTGATAAAACTTCATTAATAAAAAACTATTGTACTAATATTCATATTTTTTTGCTGGATCATTTATAGGCGCTTTTCCACAACAAATTCATTTATAGCGGCTTCACGCTCAGTTTTTACAAACGTATCTTGGGCAAAAAATTGGGTCTTAAAGACTTGGAGGATGTGGATCCTGAGTTTTACAATTCCCTCATCTGGATCAAGTAATATATTACAGCCCATAAACATTACTCTATTAAAAACAAAGATTATCATTAACTCGCAAAATAGAAATAATTCGTGTTACCATTACGCATTATTTTAAATGATATATAGAATTTCACTTTCTAAAAAAGGTTTATTTATCAAATCCCTGTATCATTTTAAAGTAGTGACTCTTCAGTAACGAGTCTAAACAGCGCATTTGTATCTTAATTCCAATCTTTTGAACAAAATCTAAAACGAATAATTCATCATTCGATTCGTGTTTCATTTTAAATGGGCCTATTTTAAGCATGTAATTATTTTATTATAATAATAAATTTTCCATCCATCTTCCTTTGTGTATTTTCGAATATAATATAACTGTATTCTGTATAATCTACATAACTTTTCAGTAACGAGTCTAAACAGCGCATTTGTATCTCGAATATATCTAATTCCAATCTTTTGAACAAAATCTAAAACGAATAATTCATCATTCGATTCGTATTTCATTTTAAATGGGCCTATTTTAAGCATGTAATTATTTTATTATAATAATAAATTTTCCATCCATCTTCCTTTGTGTATTTTCGAATATAATATAACTGTATTCTGTATAATCTACATAACTTTTCAGTAACGAGTCTAAACAGCGCATTTGTATCTCGAATATATCTAATTCCAATCTTTTGAACAAAATCTAAAACGAATAATTCATCATTCGATTCGTATTTCATTTTAAATGGGCCTATTTTAAGCATGTAATTATTTTATTATAATAATAAATTTTCCATCCATCTTCCTTTGTGTATTTTCGAATATAATATAACTGTATTCTGTATAATCTACATAACTTTTCAGTAACGAGTCTAAACAGCGCATTTGTATCTCGAATATATCTAATTCCAATCTTTTGAACAAAATCTAAAACGAATAATTCATCATTCGATTCGTATTTCATTTTAAATGGGCCTATTTTAAGCATGTAATTATTTTATTATAATAATAAATTTTCCATCCATCCATCCTTCCTTCCTTTGTGTATTTTCGAATATAATATAACTTTATTCTGTATAATCTACATAATTCAACCCCACTAGGGAAAACAATATAGACGAATGCGAGCTCGGGGTCTACTTTTCGGCCGATTTCGAGATACTGGGCCAGGTTAAATCCCACGAATTGGTGCCTGATGGGGCCAACCTCAAGGTTACCGAGTCTAACAAACAACAATACATTGGGTTACATTGATGATGTTATATAATTGATTTATTCTCTTCCCCTTTCCTTCCCTAGATTTAATATATTTTTTTTTCTAATCGAAGCCTAATGACGGACTGGCGTCTAGACCGAGGCATTCTGGCTCAATTTCGGTCCTTGGCCTCGGGATTTTCGGAAATCGTTCCGCCCGGTTGGCTACACTACTTCGACGAACGCGAATTGCAATGTCTCCTTTGCGGAACGTCTCGCATCGACGTTGACGATTGGAAACGGAACACGGTGTACAAAAATTACGACCCTAATCACGATGCTCAAATTCAATGGCTTTGGAAGGTATATGAGAAAAAATGATGATTGGCATGAGGGAAAAATGATTGCGTAAGATTGGAATTGGCGAGAAAGAAAATAGAGGTACCATGCATTCAAACTCTATGTAATATAACTAGAAATATTTACATAAGAATAGTGCATTAGTAGTAAACGGATCAAATGATTTGCTGATAAAATTTACTATTCATATATGATTAATTCCTTCTTTTTAAAATATTTTATCACAAAATATATTGTCAGAAATTTTTTTTTCAATTTGTTTTTTAAACAGAAGAAATTATTATAATAATCTGATGATGAGAATCTTAAAGTTGTTAATTAAATTAAAAGCCAATTTTTAAGGCAAAAAAATGTTTTTCTTATTGTTTCTCTTTTACTTTATTCAATATGCGGTTTTTGACAGTAAATTAGTTTCAATTTTCCAACTGAGAAAACAAACAGTTGATCACCATTGTTAATCATGATGATTAAAATTGTTTAAAAACATAATAATTATTCGTCAAATATTCGAATTGATTAAACCAATTATTCGTTTGTTACTAATCGATTGGTTTTTGAAAGGGCCTCATTGTAACCAATGACATGCACAATACTGCACGACTAGCATTTCAAAATGCCTATTAACAAGTGAATCGTCTATGCGCAAGTATTATAAATAATTATACAACACATACATATTTGTTCGAACATTTAAGTTCATATCGGAGCTCGATAACGAAAAGCGATGTCGGCTATTACAATTCGTAACTGGCACCTGTCGCGTTCCTATTGGGGGCTTCTCGGAACTAATGGGTTTTATTTTCTTTTCTTTATTATGTCGCGTATCCTTCTTTTTTTTTTAAAAAAAAAATAATAATAAATAGTAAATTTAATTAGAACATATTTTTCCTCTTTCTCTATTAATCTTATAGAAGTTAAAATGGGACACGGCAAGACTGAATTTTTCATTAGTACTTTGTTCATTTTTTTCCCCCTCTAGTCTTGACTTCTAACTAGTATTGTTAACTGCTCCATTTGAACCGAAAACGGCAAACTCAATATTTTTGCTAGAAAAATGTGGTCTAAGCTTAGAGATTTCGTTAACAGATGTTCAAACCTTTGTGTGCCATTTATGAGCTAAATCTTAAGGCTCGAATAATATTTGTCTGGATAAAGCATCGAGTCAGAGCCGGTTTACAACACTAGCCAGGAATTGAACCGTCTAAGGCGGGTAGAATTGTCCGAATTAACCGAACTTCTATCCCATTACACCATTGGGATGATGATTGTATTTAAAAATTTTTTTGTATCTTATAACGTTTATCAAATTAACAAACGTCATCGCACGAAATTTAAAATTATAATGCAACCACTTCTCTTTAAAAAAAAACCCCCCATTTTACACGATATAAATTATTCGTTTAAATATTCAAAATTAAGGGGTGTAACACATACTTTGAAATAATTACAATTTATTAAAAGAATTAATTTCCCAAAATAAAAGAACGTAAAGTAAGGAACCTATTTTTTCTTTTATTTCCAGTAGAGACTCCTCGTACTTCAGATTTAATTATCGGAAATCTACACGAACTATAGAATCTAAATGTATAAATTGTATAAACAAGTATATTCCACGATCACACCTTTTCTCATTCCTCGTTTAATTGCGGTTCACCCGGACAAACTAGTTTCCCCTCCGATCTCTATTTATTTTCATCCGCGTTGTATTAGATTTTCCTCGAGACTTTGATTCCCTTACTTCCACCGGAAGTGAATCTCTCCTCACCCAAACATCTTTAAACATTCCCAACTTTTAAATTATTTTTTTTTTAAATGTTGGTTTAGGAAGCAACGGCCCTCAAAAATTTTGCGTCGAGAGAATCGCGCGGGAGGATATATTACCCCGGTCTCACACCTGCTTCAACAGGCTCGATTTGCCGGTTTACAAAAGTTACAAAACTCTGAAAGAGAAACTGCTTTACGCCATCGAGGAAACCGAAGGGTTTGGACAAGAATAAAACGCTAAAAAAAGAAAAATGCGTTGGGACAAAAGAATAAAACGCTAAAAAAAAGAAAAATGCGTTGGGACAAAAGAATAAAACGCTAAAAAAAAGAAACGACGAAAAAAAAAAGAAAATATTTTTTTTATATTTATTATATATTTATTTCCCCCCCCCCCTCAAAATTTTACATTTTGCAACGACAAAAAATAAACGAATATTTTTAAACATAATTATATTTATTTATTTTCGTGATAGGTTGTGAAAATAATTTTCAATAAATGAAAATTTTCGGCCACCATATTAAATCGTATCCTTTATTTTATCGTGTCTGGAAAAGACAAGGTCAAAAACCCATCCCTATGTTTAGCATCCTTTCCCCCCAAAAATGGAAGATGTGATCAGCTGATGATCCGTACCATCATAAATACGCTAAGTGGATTATGGAATTTTTTTTTATCGCTCTACCGGCATTAAATTATTTGGTAATCGTTTATCTGAAGGAAATTTTTTTAATTGGTTGAAATATATTTAATATTAAAATGAGTAGCTGAAGTATTATCAATGTTTAGAGAGATATGGGTAATATGGGCTAAGCTTAGGGTTAGCATATTTAAAAATTGTCTATGATCTGTTTGGTCTATATTTTACATTTTACCCCTCATACTCAAAATAATTATTAATTCTGATAAAAGCCTAGAAGTTATGAATTGGAAAAAATTTGGTCTACGAGATTCTGTTTACCTCGTGTATCAATCCATTCAATGGTCCTAATTTTTGAACTCGCACCTGCCTTATATTTTAGACAATATTCATATTTGAGAATTTCAATATGCATAGCTGTCAAATATTAGCCTAGACTGACAATTCCTTCATTAGATAAGGGCACTAGGAAGTCCAGACAGAATGCGAAATACCTTTTAATGAGCTCTACTACAGGCAATGCATCGATTCCAGTTGGCTATGTATATTCTTATTATTTACACGAAATACTTTTTCAATGACTTCTACTATAGTCATGGCAATTGATTCCAGCTGACTTCAATGTATGTATACTTTTATTCATACGAAATATCTTTTAATGACTTCTACTACAGTTAAGACTTTGATTCCAGCTAACTTCAATGTATGTATTTAATAAAATAATTGCCAGCCTATTATTGTCATTAATAACTTAATATACGTGAGGTAACTTACAGATCTCCTAGGCCATTGAAGCTTCCCCCACCCTCCATGGCTAAAATATATGGAGCTGACTATGTATATTAATTAAGAATGTAGCCCCCCCCTCTCACGCCTAAAACTCGAAATGTAAAGGCAGGGTATTTTCCCTGGGAAAATTTCCAATATCTATTTTTAATATATATTAGTAATAACAATGAGTGTACTGGTAACTGTATACCGCGTGGTGTATTTTCTTAATTCATATTTATCACGTCATTTATAACTACTTTTCAAATATGGAAAAAATTCCAATATTACAAAGCTTATTATGCCTTGATTCATAATTACCATTTTGAATGGTTAATTGGATAAAAATCGTTTTATCTCAAATTCGAGCAATAACACATGTTGTCAAGGAGAAAAAAACCCAAAACGACTAATAGTTATAATAAAAGACTTATTAAATTACAAAAGGAACATAAAATAAGGGAATTGCCATCGACCAGTCGAATAGAAAGCGTGGCGATTCAGACTCTCCGTTTACCGCAAGAGATAAGATAATTTGAAAGGATTTTATATTCGCTGAAAAACGATTCGTAGATTAATCCGCAAGACTCTTAAAAAAAGAACTCAAATATGTGACTATTGACATTCTCAGAATCCCAAAATGACATTGCACGTCAAAGTGTGTGTGTATATTATAAATTATTTGGGTAATCTGAAGGTAGAAATATTATATTTTCGGGAACAAAGTTTTTTTAATACTTAATATTAGAATTAAATCATATAGAGGAATATTATTGCGAGAGGGAGCTAAGCTCCGACTTAATAAACCAAATTATAAGGCTTTAGCTTATAAAGTCACTGCTTTGGAAATTCACAAGAATCTGTTAAATTCGTTAAACCTAGCATAGTAGATGTTTTAAAATGGTTTCCATGTAAATTTCATATATCATAATATAAACTTAGATTTTTCAGAGTTAACACTGTTAATGACAAATAACATTCAAATATATCAGTAAAAGAAAAAGATTGAAAACTATAAAATTAAAGAGTATTTTTATTTGAATAAGAACTTAGTAATATTGTCAATATATAATTTCCATGATTTATGGCGCTTATGCTCTATAGTTGAAGGTTCAACAGAGTTGCTTTAGGTATTCCTCATTTCCTTCTAGATGGGATTAAATTAAGTTATATGAAAGATTAAAAATGAGATATATTATATTGCATAATAAAACAGTGAAACGGTAAAACTGTCAAAATAAAATTAGTCAAAAGTTTGTTGGATTTATTGTATGAAGGGAGATTCGTTTTTGGCGGAACACCGCAATATAAAGAATTGAGATTATATATCAAATTTTTTTACATATTATATTAATGGAAGTTAAAAAAATATTTACTAACTTATAACTTAAATTTTATTTTCAGATTTTAATATTTAACAAATATACGTCCATAAGAGAGCGTTAAATGCTTAAATATTGAAAACATCATATTAAGAAACTAAAATGATTATTGGTTAGAAGCTTCTTTTTTTTTATATTTAATTTATAAAATAGGTTTATAATCGTAAAATAATAGAAAATTTGTAAGGCACACATTGCTTATTAATCAAAATCTCTTCATTTTTGTTTTATACACTTATATTTACGTGTTAAGCATTACCCTAAAGAATATATTGAAAATATTTTGATTTGACCGAATGCCGAGCTCAAAACCGATCAGTTACTAGATAACCGATTTGAAACCGACCCAATGACTAAATACTACATAGTCGAATCCATGGAAAATTATTAATTTTTAGCCAACACGTGTACTTTTTTGAGTGTTGAGCATTATCCTCAGCACTTAAAACAAAAATTATAATCCTACCCGACCAATCCCCTATTTTAGGTATGTTATTTAAAGTATGATTATACGAATAAAATAAAAATACGTTCCCTCATGGAAGCTGAAATAATATAATTAATATTTTGTAAATCATAATTAGTCTCTTATTGTTGAGTATGACTTCGATTGCGGCAAAAATACGTAAATAAATTATGGCACGTTTCTTAATCGAAAATGGCTAATGATACAGCCCGCGAGATATAGGCAATTTCCAGCACCTATCGTTTTCCTCGGTGATAATCTTAATTATATAGTTTTATTTTTAAAAAAATTATTCATCAAAATAATTTACATATACAGTCCTGCTAAATTTTCTTAAACAATTTAATATGACGTGGATTTTTTCACTTTCCACCTTGAATCAAAGTAGAATATAACCCCCATTATCTAATCAATATTCATATAAAAGACAAGCAGATGTACCATTTGAAGTAGAGACTCCCAGCCCGAACGGGCTTCGAGCCGGGATCGGGCCTAATATTTTTAAAAATCGGACCGGGTCGAGTCGGGCCTTGGAATTTTTTTAAAGTATATTTGAATTTATCAATTTTATATTGGCTTATTTATGTAAAATAAAAATATTTGATTTTATTTTTAGAAACTAGACGCCATAAAACACATGTCTTTTATATATAAATTAATTTTTATAATTAAATAAAATCGGGCCTGGCCGGCAAAACCTTTTTAAAAAAATTTCGGCCCGGACCGGGTTTAAAAAATAGAGTCCGATGCAGATGACTAATTTGAAGGACACGTCCTAATTTTTAAAAAAATTTCGGGCCATGAACATTTTGCAATTGATATTACTAGAAAATTTGGTCAGTCGAATATTTGGTAAGTGGTCTGTTTTGAGCTCGGCATTCTGTCAAATCATATTTTCATATATTATTTTAGGATAATGCTTAACAAGTATATATACGCCTATAAATAAAAATAAAGAGATCTTGATTAATGACGGCCAGCAATATGTGTCTTACTTACGAGTTTTCTATTAACGATGCTAAACCTACTCATAAATTAAATATCAAAAAAAAATTATAACCAATAATGTTTTCATATACATTTAACCCCCTCTTATGGATATAAATTTGTTTTATTTTAAATTCAAAAAATAAAAATTTAAGTTGTAATAAGCTAATAAATATACTTTTTTTTCCATTAATATTTAGTAAAAAATAGAATTATAAATTTTGAAAGTCGTGTCGTAAGTAACAGGGTAGAATAATTTAATTTAATAGACTATTAAGATATGATAATTTTATTTTAAAAAAAATTAATATATATAATCCAGATATAACAATTTCAAATAAGATATATATCCAATTACAAAAAAGTTGTTAATATGTGAATTTTGAATAAACTTTATAATTTTTAATTTATTTAATGACCTTTTATATTTTCCTAATTTTCGTAAATCTAAATTTAATTTAAGGACGAATTTGTTAAAATTTAACCTTTTAAAAAACTTATGTAAAAAGTGTAAGTTAAAAAATTGTATATATATACATATAAAATTGTAAAGTTTTTAGTTTTTTAAAAATAAAATAAAAAGATTTAAATTTTACTTTTTTTATTTGCCATCCGTTCTAAAAGTTTAATATAATTTAATTTTTAAAAGTACCAAAAAAATATATTTTTTTATTTTTATATAGATCTTTCATGAACTTTAAGATTATTATTTAAATTTTTCCCAATGCTATTTTTAACATCCACAATATCGTCTGATAAAAAAAAATATAATTAATATTTTTGAAGATAAATAAAAATTTACTTAACAAAAATTACAATCGTCTGTGTTGTGATGATTTAATGAAACATATTGACGATTAAATTAAAACCCATCCATATAAAATTATAATCTTTGTAAAAATAATTAAAATATAGACAAAGCATTATTGAAATTTCTTTTATTATTCCTTTTGTTATTTTAATTATTTTTGCAAAGATTATAATTTTATATAAATGTTTTAATTTAATCGTCAATATGTTTTATTAAATCATCACAACACTGTATTTTTTCTAATAAAACGATTAATCTTCCCATGCAGAAAAACAATTTGAATATAATAATTTTTTAAAAAAACAAAGTATAAATTCTTCAAACATTACAACAATTAATTATTCGATATTTAATAAATAATTGATTTATGTATATATTTAAAAAAATGTTTCTGAAAATTATGTTTAAAAAAAAGAAGATTATAGATTATGATTAATTGGTTAATTAAGATGTTCATTTTAA